GATGTTTTCACTGGTATGTGGTAATCGAGTTTGCGACCATATTGTTGTACGTACGACCGGGAAATCTCGTGTCGAAACGCGCAGCAGGTGCCTTAGGTGACTGCAATCTGACCGGCCTCTAAAAGCTCGAGCCGCGGACGAGGCAATAAATAAAACCACTGTGTCATTGGTGTGGTTTTTGTGGAGGTGGAGGGGAGGCGCAGTTTTCAGATTTGTTGATTTATCGGAAACTAAATGCCAAAACAAGATCGGTAGACATAATCCGTTGCCACCCCGGCAGCCGCAAACCACCGGTGTATTGATGAGATAACCAACCCGCGAGTGCACTCACCCCCATACAAACACACACACACACACACACACACACACAAACACAGCCACTGACTTTTAATAAATATTTCGTAAAACAGAATTTCGTCACCAACCCCCCGCTGCGTGACGGTAAAATACCTATATTATTATTATTATTATTACATACGATGCACCATAATATATAACACTACCCACCTGCTATACGCCTATACCCCACCAATGCGGTGCGACCGTCCGTGTCCGTCAAATATTTACCTCTTAGCTTCGGCAGCTGTATATATTATATTATATACATAAGGCGCCGGGGTTCGTTGTTATGTTGATGGCAGAGGGTCTCCCCATCGCGAAATATAATAAAATAAAATTATACATTCCGGGTTTGCCCATACGACAATTTATAAAAAAATAATACATGCTGTGATGCGATGATAATAATATTATGCGCTCCAGTGACGTGCCGGATACTAGACAAATATGAATATTAGGTATAAACACTTGGGATGGAAAACGTTTTCGATTAGGTAACGAATACCGATACTGTTTTAGAACAACTATAATCGATGTATCGAATCCAGTTTTGACGACGATGTTTGGATCCCTGCAATATTATTGGTCTTGTGAAATATTAATGTTCAGCCAACGAACCTAAACTTTGATCGGGAAACGAATGTTATGTTTGACCTATTTGGAAATCACTACAACTTAACGATACAAATCGACGAATCGACGATATTAACCAGGGGAAAATAAGACATAAATCAGATCGATAAATTTGACATATTTTATTTAGTCCAACGCAAAACTTAGCTTTATACTACAACTCACCTGTATTTATATTAACAGTACCAGAGTACCTATTAATATTATTTCCAGTAGGTATATGATTTAAGCTTTAAGTTATTATAACAGATTGATTTAATTTATATTGCATATGATAAGTCTCTGATTAATATCGTTTAAAAAAATGTCACCACTACAATACTATATTTTAATCTATTACATTTCTAAGCAAAATATAAAATTACCTACCATATATTTTAAATCAACTAGACTATTTAATTATAATAAGTAACAGTAAATAATTTGGATAATAAATACTATTTATTTCGTGAAGTTCAGTAGCTAGGTTTAGTAGAGCAAAGTTGTTGAAATTAATATTACGATAAATAATAATATTTTTTTTTTTAGGTTGTTATATAATATATAGTATTTAAAAGTGCATATGTAATAGGAGTAAATGAGTAATATGTATATTATATATTATAATATATATGTATATATAATTTGTCATATTGTCAAATATTAATTTTTCTTTTACATATTTTATATTCATATGGAAACGTTTAAGTTTTAATAAAAAATTGTCAGTTACACTGGTATTTTAGCAGACAATGTTTATGATGTATCCAAGATAAAATACTATTAACGAATTGAGGTAAACTTTTTATTATTAAATAAATTCCACATTATAAGAATAAATAAAAAACAGAGGTATAATATTATTAATTTAACTTTTAATTGAGTGTTTAAACAAATAATTGTTATAATACATCCACTTTCTGAGTTATGTTCACATATTGTACAATATTATACCTATGCACGATCATTGTTTTGTGATATCAGATTTTGTTCCACAATAGTGCAATGCATTATAAAAGAAATCAAAAAGCATTAAAATTAGTTTTGTATAAACGTTTTATAAGAAATACATATATTATAGTGTCAACAATAGAGGTGTTTACATTTTACAGTGTGTAGGCACGTAATTGAATGTGCCACTGAACAATTGAATCATATTATCTTAATAAATACCACACTTTTGAATTGCATTTTAATTGAACCTAGTCGTCGAAAAAAGAGGTTTACCCGTTAAATATTCATACACAATTGTCAGTGAATGTAAAATGAATTGTTCGGGGAGACAGAGAAAATATACTGTTCAAATGTGGTGGAAATAATTGAAATTACAACTCAACTATGAATAAGTGAATCTCCTTATGGAAATATTATATAATGATCATTTATTATTTGCAAAGAAATATAGGTACCGAATATTATAAAGTGTACTATGTGCCCCGTCCACAGTCCATTTAGATTTATTACACAGACCATAAATAATGTTAACATTTGACATATATTTACTTATAGCTCATTTAACTACAATTTTTAAAATACCTATATAATATTTCCCTTTTTTACAACTTATTAGATTTTAGATTCTGAGCGGAGCTAGGAAGCTAGTGGTTTTACAATGGTGTTTATTTATTTATTTTTATTTTATCTTGTATACAACATTTCTACCAGAAGGAGTGCTTTGATTTCAACACATAGTATCTTATCTTTTAGAAAATTTGACCAAGATGGGTACTTTAGAGAGGTCATTTTTTTATTTTCTCAATAGTTATTAAAATTACAAAAAACCGCTAAAATTTTAATTTCTAATACTTTATCACCATAGAAACGAATAAAAATAAAAATATGATATCATTGAATTCAAATTCAATACAATCCATTATACAGTGACCCACTTGTAACATACTGTATAGCAGAGCGACACCCCACTTACCAGCTTTTTTTTTTATCTTGTATACAAAATTTCTACCATAAGGAGTGCTTGGATTTCAACATATTATAGTACCTTATCTTTTAGCAAATTGGATCAAGATAGGTACTTTAAACCGTTCATTTTTCGATTTTCTCAATAGTTATTTAATGCCACGGGAAAAACCACCAACAAATTGTAAAAAAGTTATTTTAATTTCTTACGCTTTGTTTATCACCTCATAGAAACGAATAAAAAATAATTATATTATAATATTAATATTCAACTAACAGAGTACAATAAATAATAATAATATAAAATATCCAGACTGACAAACGCGTTTCATCGCTTTACCGCTCAGAATCGTTTTTCTTTTACAATGATATTATAATATCATTGAATTCAAGTTTAATACAATCCATTATATATACATTGACCCACTTGTAACCTACTGTACAGCAGAGTGACATACCTCTTACCCGCTTTTTTTTATAAACTTTAATGTTAATAAATGTTTTATCTTTGCTCAACTATTTATATAAGTTGTATTTCAAATGTTGAAATGTTTAATCCAACAATTTATGCTAGTATGCTACCATCGCAATGAATTTTAATTGTAATCTATATATATATATATATATATATACAGGGTGTCCCGTGAGGATTTACTCATTGCGATATCTCCTGAAATAATGGAGATATCGTAATTATATTTTTTTATTAAGACTCGCAGAGGTAAGCACTACAAATATTTTATTTTTTAATTAAATTAAATTTTTTAGTAAGAAAGTTAAAAAAATTATTTTTTAATTTTTTAATTTTTGAAAAAATTGAAGATAGCCATTCTATAAGGTATATTTTTGTGAACATTTTGAGCTTTTAACATTTTATTTTCATTAATCTCATGATTTTTAATAATTTTTTTAGTTTATTAGTAAAACGTCAATAAACTGGTTTTTGTCCGGGCGGCGAGTCCCCCTCTACGGCTAATGAGTAAATCCTCACGGGACACCCTGTATATATACATAAATATTACATAATATTAATTGGATGAAACGAGTAGAAAATCGATTTGATATTGAGTTATAGAGGATGAGCTTTAATTTTTATTTCAAGTACTTTCACTAAGGGAACACTCTAGAAAGTGTTCATTACGAAAAATACGAAGACTCTACTACAGTGTCGAGAAGTTTGAGAGGTTTAATATGGGTATGAAAATAAAAAAATATACTTATTCTAGGCAACCCCAAAAGATAAAGTTGATGTATTTAATTTTATAAGAAATTATAATTATAGCTCAAGTAATTGTTAATGCGGAGTCGTTTTAATCCATCAGAAAGTTAGCTAAAAACTATAATGTATCATAATATTTAAAAAGTTTTATTATTTCAAAAAACAAAGAATTATATTTGTCATGATAAATATAAAACGTTGTTATATAATATTATGTATAATAATAACACTCATATTATTTTTATTATTTAAAGTAAAAGCTTCAACAACGTGGGTTATTAGAATATAGTTAGAAGACAGAGATAAAACAGGTCAAGAGAAACAAGATTGCAATATTTACTGTTGTTTAGAATTTTTTGCTTAAATGTGTGGTGTGGAAAAATGTGTGGATTGCTTCGGTGTTTTCGTCGTTGACAGCTAGTTGGAGAGATTTTGGGCTGTGGAAAATCATCGGTGCTTCGGCGTATTTTGGACGTCTAGTGACGATATGATAAAATATGTCACTAAGATATGTTTTGAATGAATATTAGAAAACATGCAAGGTCCCTCCCTAGTCCTACTTATTATTAATATTATTATTATTATTATTATTATTGTTATTATTATATGCGCTGAGGTCTGCTTTATCGAATTACCTATAAATATAATATTAATATGTATATTTTTTCGCCGTCGCGGTTTTTACGTCCGGGAAGAAAGGAAAATAAAGAAAAATATCTGCCAATGACGTCGTGTATAATTATTTGAATTTTTCCCCGCCCGGCAGGTGACGGTGCCAAATTAATCGAAGCCGTTGGTGGCGACACTTATACAAGAATGCCGGGACGACCGGCAAGTCCGAGCGCTGAAGTGTTTGGGTGGCAACCTGTACCACTTCCTGACCACGTTGGACGGCGTGCACGATGTCCTGCAAATGGGCGACGATAAGGTAGGTGACCCTCACCCCGATGATGATAATATAATATTACTGTTGTTTAATATGTTATTTAATGTGTCACGTTATTACAATGGGTAGTAATAAAGCATAAGCTCGATGTTTCATCTTAAAAAAAAAAAAACATTTAGACATCTATATTATTAAGAGAAAATATAATCTATACCTTAGAGGGACGGAGTGGCCGAGCGGTCTAAGGCGTCGGCTGCGACGCAGTCGACGCTGGCTTGATACCTTGGTCACGGGTGGCATTTCCCCCACTCGGGCATGGCAGATACCTACGGGTGTCCAATCAAAACTTCTGCCAAACCGAACACACACGTGTTCCCCCCTACCAACATAAAAAATCTACAAAAACCATACAGCTAATGTCCATAGTCGCCGGGCTTAAGATCACGAAAAAAAAAAAATCTATACTTACGTTTCAAACATGAGTACTCACTTTTTTTATAAGCTATATTGACATTTAACATATTTGAGTATCGCATACTATTCTTTCGAATCCTATACCTGTAATCTCCGTCAGATATGAGATCATCGTTATAGCATAATTATGTAACACGTTTTGTAGTGTAAAGAGGTTGCAATATCAAATTATTTATTAAAACGGTTTCGGATAAAAGAAAAAACATTATTAATTTAAACATTAGGTACATAATTAAAATTAAATAAGATAAGTAGGTCATTAATTATTTTGTATAATATAACCTGATTAGGAATTGGAAAATAGTTTAACATCGTGTGAGTTGTGCACGTGTTGATAGGCTAAAGAGAAAGAAGTTCCGAAAAGTTTTGTGAGTAAATAGACAGCAGCTATAGTTCATATTTATTTAGATTGCTGGTAGACAAACAAGTCAAAAAAGTACATCTCATCTTGAAATTAGATCGACGATTTTCTCAGATTATTGAAAACATTATCGACTAAAACATAAAAGTAAAAGTTTAACGCTGTTTTTGGACAAAATATACAATACATTTCTATACACTGTTAACCTATATGTATGGTAATCATTAATATAATTATAGCAAACAAAACGAGTTGAAATTTTGGTTTAACAATATTTGCAAAATTCCAGATGATTATTTTTTTGTTTTGCAATCTCAGTTGACCACTATTATTAGTTTTTATGGAGATAAAAATAATATGTGGTTATGTTTTTTTGTTTGTCATCAAATCACATGGCTTGAAAGAGCAATTTGTTAAATTTTTTCATCGATTATATTTTTCTTGATATTCTGTAATGGTATTTAAAAATTCCTTTCGTATACATAGTAGTGAAGTAAAAGTTATAGTTTAAGTTGTAATACTATTTACCTATGACTTATGAATGAAGCTATAATTTAATATTAATCTATATACAAGTAAATTAAATTGAATAGTGTACGTCTGCTAATCTTCGAAACAGATGCACCGATTTCGTCAGAATTTTCACAGGCTAGTTTACAAGGAGTGATCTATAGGCTAAGTAGATACTAATATTTTATTCCATACACTTTTTATAAGTTTCCTGCTTAAAAATTGAAAAAAACTTTTTAAATAGGGTACAACATTTTAACAGTATAACGGCCATTAAGTTAAAATGGATATTTTCGGAGATATTTTTGTCACGTGTTAGCTTTGGTAACAATAATCTAATCGACAAGCTATTTGTTTATTTATTTACACAACAAACTACAGAGTAGCATTTTAGAGAAGTTTTATCGAGTCCCAACTTTTTTCCAAGGAAAATTGAACTAGGAAATTCGCCCACGTGTAGTGCTGTGCATTATCTAGTTAAAAATAATTTAAAGTGAGCATGTTTTTATCCATCTATATTTAAATAAAACGGTTATCTATATAATTTTTTGTGTCAACAATTTCAATTTCCTTTTTATAAAGGCATTTATATATTTTTTTTAACCGCCCAAAACCCCACCTGGATACAGAACTGCATGTATTAATGTTTTATAATTTTATTATTATGTTATTCCTAATATAATATATTTTTTCGTGACATTAAGAGATGGAAAAATATTTAATTTAATATTTAATGACTAAATTTCAAAAAAATGTAAAATGTTTGATCTGAAAATTATTTTACATCCCTATATCTAAGAATAAATTATTGAAAAAAAAACGAATGAAACCTTTCATGTTTCTCTAAAAAATTATTGAAATTCCAGCATGTTCCTTCACATAAAAAGGAACAACGCTTGCGTTAAGTTTCTGAAAACTCATTGGAAAGAGTTATTTTGAATGTGTTCCTTCCAAGCACTGAATATACCATATTATGCTACGAGTCTACAAAAAATAGTTATTATTATCTATTCTATTGTCAAAATGTATTCATATAATGATAAAAAAGAACCGTTCATTGTCTGCATAGTATTATGTTACGAAATTATCAGATTAATAAATTTAGTTCATTATAAGCTTTATAATAATCATAATAGATAATATTATAATATTATAATATACATTGGTATAATATGCATCCGTTAATTCTGATAAAATTACCACCTGTTCCTCCCTTAATATTCGTTATCTCATAGTGGTGTTTCGCGCGCTTTTTCTCTGCCAGGTCTTCCGGTGTTATTCGATACAGCGACCATTTTTAGGCTGGTGTAGTTCCGTATATAATGGACTTTTAATGTGGCTACATTATGCGAATGTCCACCACTTCAGGTTGTGGGTTAGGGGTTGGGCGGGGGAGCGAATGAGGGTTTTTCGTTTATTACATTTTAACGTTCATCACACCTCCAACGTTCCTTACACAGTCGATTAAATTCCATTTTGTTTGTACTGTGACTTCAGGGAGGCGGCGGCGACTAAGCCCTCTGTAGTTATACATAAACGTATTCACCGTGGCTGCTATTCTCTCATTATTTTTCACCGTGACGGAGAAATGTCGGGTAGCAAGCACGGTTGTTAGTGATGCTGAAATTCAACAATATCCTTTAATTAAATCCAGCTACTCGACAAACGGGAAAGCTGCACCTCCCGGTTAGGTTATGATGTGGTGGGGGGGAGCTCCGCGAAGTGACAGAGTACCAAATTTCTCCAAAGAATACCTTTCAGCCTGCACTCGCCCAAATAAATTATCTCCGACTGCAATATTATATTGCTATAAGAAAACTCGCAGTTTGTTGCCGCACACTTGTAATATTTTTTCTGGACATTTATACATTTATACATTTCACCCGCCAAACGCAAAAATATTTTACGTGACCCGAATATTCCGGTATGACTACTGATCCTGAGCAAGTGCAATGGCCCTGATGACAGATTATCAATTGCATAGCTCTTTCGTTAGGGCATTTTCCCGTTAACATCATTCTCCCGTCACAATATTTTAGTCTGCGCGCGTTCTCTTATAGCCATCCGTAAAAATAATATCTGGACAGAATGCTTGTGCGTTTAATATAAAAGTCATCAGTCATAAATACTCGTATCATAATGCATTATTTCAGAGAGAGCACTTTCGCAGACTCCAAATGATCAATAACCAGCCGTTTGGGGTTAAAGGATTTCGGAGCAATAAAAAGCGTAATGTGTGTCGTATAATGATCAGGCGTTGTGCAACATAAGCGCATTCTTCAAAATAAAAAAATAAAAGCATCCACCGCAACAACGTGCTATTTCCCATTTAGAATATATTTTCATTCCATAGTTGATGATGTATAGTATTCTGTAATATAGATTTTCTGTATAATGAATAATATTTTATGTGACAAGAGTAATCTAAAAAGTTACGTTAAAAAAGTAACATACTTAATAGAAAGTATGTTATTTCATAATAATATCATAGGTTCGTGTATAATAAACATTCGAAGTTAATTAACTTTTACTTTTAATTCGTATGACTTTGGTTAGCAATCATTTATGTTTTTATTTCCGCATTGAATAATTAAAGAGGTAAAATATATATTACTCTTTTATATAAAAATAATATCTGGATATTACGGTATACTAATCAATATTATAATCATACATGAAAGAAAAAATGAAAAATAATTTTCAAAGATTGATTTTTTTCCATTTATGATTTTAAATATCGCTATAAGGATACAATATAAAATACCAAAAACACACAAGAAAATACTTCTTCGTTTCAAAGCTGTGACACATTATTATTATTATTATTATTATTTGCTTTCTGGCAGTTAAAAATAAGTCCATTTATAATAAGAAACTTATGTACGGTTTACTCATAGTAAGTAGTTAGTTATGTTAATGTTTTCAAATATTTTTAAATTTTGTAGAAATTTATTCTATTTTAAATATTTTTTAATTTTTTAATTCTTAGAAAACCATTGCTGGAGCCGGTCTCTTTAGAAATATTTTGTGGTAATAATGATTTTTCGTTTATAATTTAAAAATTATAAGATAAGGCAATAGGTACTGGGATTTTTTTCAGTTAGATAACAATGAAAGTATCAAGTATTTTTCATTTTTGTGACACTTCACACAAAATCGTTACAGATGACACAACACTTTCATGGTTTTTCAAGCACTTAAAATTGTGCAACAACCGATTTCAACAATACTATCAAAAACGTTCCAAGAATTGAATAATAATAGAATGCCACTATAATATTATTATTATGTGTAAACAAAACAACCAATTGTCTTATTAAGAGCTGTTTGGTATTGGATATTTCATAAAAAATTGTCTTTAGTTAATAATTTGTCATGTATTAACTTAGGAGGTTTTCTCCCGTAGGACGTACCTACCACCTCAATAAAGATGATATATATTTCATACAAAATACCTTGGTAGTAGTAGAGTAAATTTTGTACCGTATAAATTACCAAATCTTTTGATTAATCACTAAATCTGTAGACGGTCATAGATGCGTACACATCACAAAAGAGCATTATAATGCTATAATATTAACTATAACCGGATACCAATAAACCATACTTGTAGACAATTCACATTTTGTTTGTCGCATTGAGCAAAGTATATTGTAGGTAACTCGGTTGGATTCACAACCTTACCCCTGACAGATCA